CTGAACATAACAATTATTTTCATCAAAGGTAACTTTACATTTGTTTTCCTTACACAACTTATGAACAGATAGAAGATTCACATGGAAATCAGAAACAACAAAAACATCAGTTAACATGATAGAATCTGAAAGATTCATGTTTCTAATTTTTTCAATTTTTGCAGTGGATCCATTAGGATGACCCACCTTCAAGTTCAGCTTGGAAACACCAACCATATCAAAAAGTTGTGATTCAGAAGCACTCATATGTTGACTAGCTCCTGAATCAACAACCCAACTTTTATTTTTAAAGGAAACATTATTACACATCATACCTGCTATGTTGGCATTTCCAGTAATATCTTCTGAATACTGTTTCTTATTAAGAAGAGCCAAAACTTTAGAAAATTGTTCACTTGTTAAAAAATGTTGGTCAGGCTTATCAGAAGAAGTTACTGAAGAATTAAAACTCTCACTTGCATGTGAACTAACATGGGAAGCAGTTCCAGATGAAGAAACCTTGTTAAAATCAGATTTAGATTTGAAATCTTTGGGATACCCAATAAGTTTATAACACTTTTCAATTGTGTGCCCCTATATACCACAATTTTTACAAATCAAATTCTGATTTCTATCTTTAAATTTCTTGTTATCATTAAATTTCCCAGCAAAAGCTGAAGAAGAACTGTTTTTATTAGACAGAACAGAAGTAGATCCATTTTTTTATTAGACTCTTCTCTAGACCCAACAGAAAATGCAGTTTTAACATCAGGTAAAGGTTCCATTAACAAAATGTGACTCTTGACCTGATTAAAAGACTCATCTAAACCACTTAAAAATTGCATATGTTTCATTAGTTTAGAATGACTTTTAGATTGAACAGCAGCATCACAAACACACTCAGTACACTTAGTTAAACTATCAAATTCCTTCCATAGACCATCAAGTTTGTTAAAGTAATCAGAAACAGACAAACCATTTTGAGAAAGAGAATTTATTTGTTTATGGACATTAAAGACAACAAATCCACCAGCCTTGTAATAAGTGTCACATAGATCATTCCAAATATCCAAAGCAAACTCAGTTGATACATGACCAGTATAGATATTCTCAGATAAGGAGTTAAGAATCCAAGAACAAACAATAGCATTTACCCTATCCCACTTAAGAGATCTAACAGGATCTTTTTTATCCTGAATTTCAGTGCCTTCAATAAATCCTTTTTTATTTCTAGCTTTCAAAGCTCTAGTCATAGAGCTTTTCCAAACTCTGAAATTCTCAGTTCCTAGCAGTTTAAAACTAATGATAGTACTACTAGCATAATCAGAAGGATGAAGATACAAAGGATCATCAAAATCAACAGTTTCAAATTTACCAGAAGAAGATCCTTCAGGTGTTTCACCAGTCATGATTACCAAGAAGCAGACACAAGAAAAATCACGAATCCAAACCTAACCTCAGAAGTTTACAGACAATTTCTGTAAATCAGTCCAGATTCATAACCATATAAGGTCAGAGCAAGATGAGATACTGACGTAAAACAACCAAGATTAGCAGATAGACGATAGAACTAAAACACCACAAGGAAAGAAAAAAGAAACAGAAGTGGAAGTGTGCGAATACTTACAGTGATCCACTAAAAAACGCACAGCAAGCAGCTAAGTCGTTTCGATATATCAAAGATCTACCACTGATCACCACAAGACATTCAAATGCCAAAAACCAACTCTATTAATGATACCCTGGTTGCACAATCTTGATGTTGACCGTCAGGACAATGTATACGTTGAATTTAATTCAGGTTAAACCAACACATACAAGATCTGAACGTTTACTCTCAAGATAGTGACAAGATAACACCAGAGTTGATTGGAAAGACAACTTCAGGATCTGAAAACAGATCTAAGAACAGCTCCACGATCTAACAATAGACCGATCCAAACCAGAGCCAGATAAGACACAAACCCTAATCTGAAAACCCTAATCAGTATCACTAACAACGGAAACAAACCAGAGCCAGATTGAGACACAAACCCTAATAAAAAACCCTAAAATGGAAACAACAAAAACCACTGAACCACGCTCTGATACCATCTAAAGTATACAGAAATAAGAAGACTCAAGATATCACAACATCAACAATTCTTATTCAAGTAAGAATTAGTTGGTTTTCATCAACTTACACAAGAAAGCTCACTACAAAAACACTCCACTCTCAGACTATGTTCTAATCTATCTACTGAATACAGAGACAATAAAAAGAATAAGAACTGCTCTGATTTGTTATGAACAATTACAGACTCAATATGAACAACTCAGAGAGAGTAGAGAGAATCCTTTAAGAAGACGAAGTATCTGGAATGAATCAAAACACACACACAAAGCACTTATTTATATATCGGGTCAACCCGATTACAAACAAATATAACCCGCGTGTGTTCAACTTGATAAGTTCTAGATTTGCTCCGCAGTCCAAAGAATTCACCAATTTAACACAAACCACCCTTCCTGCAAATATCTAACAAATACAGGAAACACAACTAACGCAATCTACCCTAAATAATTAATGAATACAAATTAAGGACACAAAAGGATATACTGATGAATTGTAAGTTTGAAGTATAAGATATCAACTAACTCAACACTTGTACTCCCTCTTTTATTTATAACCTTGGTTTAGTAAGTTGATTGTTTCGTATAGTATTATAAGGGTCCATTTATTGGCAACTTAACGGTGGTAGTAAAATTCATGAATAGACGTGAATCAAACTGCAAAAGGGATAAACCAAAATTTTTTTTCATTCTGGTTTTGCAAAATTACAATTTAACATAACGTACTTAATTTTCAATCAATTCATTCAGTTATAGTTTCTTTATACTAACAAAACACCATCAACCAGTTATTCAGGGTGACGTGTAGGTTATTCCCTTATCAAATACACAATCAACTTGTTGCAGACTTTTATGCAAATGGATGTCCAATACTTTTGGAAAAAAGTGGCTTTGTTGGGTGTGTTATTATTGATTATCCTATCTTTGTCAATATCAGAAACTTTACAAAAATTCATTGTATCATGACATATGATAAAAGAGGTTACGTAACGTTCTGACTCTTATCAAGATTTTGATAGTATTTTTTGATAATTGATAATGCTTACGTTTAAAGCGTTTATCTTTTAAGGTGTTAGGGTTTTGCATGTGTTTGACACTTGAAGTGTTGAAAAATCTTGCTAGCAAGTTATAGCACTTGCATAGTACATATGTTTAATTAAATTTGTCACATTGCTTATACATTACAAACATAAATGATTGATATTATGATTCCTTACAAAGATGCTCACAAAAATAATATAATATAACTAATGCACTATGGCGTAATGCCCAAAAAGATAGAACAAATCATCAATGCGAATTGTGGTTCATGTCCGACTATAAATAAACTGAACATTAGTTCACAACCTTTGAAATGTTGAAAAGACGATACAACCCCGTATCCATTCAAGAAAAGCAACAAGTTGTGTTTGATAGTATTGGATTTTAAGAGGCTTTAAATTTTTAATATTTGAAATTTTTAAGAGGTCAAAGAGGGCATTGGGAGAGAAAAAAGAGACGGTCGTGTCAAAATAAAAAGATGTGGAAAAAAGGTTTGCTGAATATAATTAGTGTATCTTTGAAACATATTTTTTTTTATTCACATACAACTTATTCTCTTAAAAATTTAAAAAAATTGCTAAATAATTAAGAAACCAAAGTTAAAAGGTTATTAAATGCTCCAAATCTAAAAAATTAATAGTTTACCAAACACCCATTAATTTAAAATTTTAAAATAAGAAAATTTTCCAATCTTAATGTTGAATATGAGTAAATTAAATAAAATAGTTGTACAAAAACTAAATGTCTAATATACAATGTCTAACGACAATAACGTGGGACAACATGCATTGAAATTATATTTTAAATATGTGGTTCTTATGTGCGTAAAAAGACGTATTTGACCTTAAAATTAAAGAAAAATGCCAACTCTTACTACATATTAAAAAAATGTTTATGACACGCTCACATATGTAGGAATTGTTTCCTTAGAGATCTCATGAATATACTTTGAACCATGCTCTTGCATTAACTAATCATTTAATACCAATTGTGATCGTTTAATCAATTTGTAAATTCGATCCGGCAAATCTTGCGATATCTTTCCTTTGTTTAATATTCCCTTACAAAGATTTCACACTATATGAACATATTGAGGACTATAAAAGAAAATTATTTAGCGACCTATACATATTGAGGACTATAAAAGAAAATTATTTAGCGACTTATATATTTCAATCAAATATCTTCTGCTTTGAACTTACGTCTAATATTTTTTACTTTATGATTCTTTTTCTTTCTTTATTTAATTAATACAATTTCTTTTACATTCTTAAAAAAACATAATTCTCTTGTTATCACATAAGTTAAGGTATCTAAATATATAAGAAAAGGTATTATAAAGATATATGCAAAATAATGTATATATGCATATTGTTTATAAAACCCAAACAAACAAAATTAAGTTCGATCTTTTGGACATTATGAATTGTAATGTACTTTTAAACAATTTTTTATTTTTTTTTATAATCAACAAGTAAACATTAGTCAATAACTTGTAACAAAATAAGGAACACTATAAAATAAAATTATTCATAATTAATTAATTATAAATATATAATACGTGTTTTAAAACACATTTTTCAAGTAAAATAAAAATATATTTTTGTCCTTCCAAAAACAAATTTGGGCAACAAATTAGTTTTATAAACACGGAAAAATCATATAAACCACGTTTCCATAAATATCCTTTAACTATCACGCGCTCTTTCTGTTTTCCATTATTTAAATCATTTTATTTCCACATAAATCCAAATCTAAGTACACTTTCCAATCTACAGTCCTATTTATACCACCATTGTTACAGCAGTTTTTCCCCAATTCATCATCTGGTTTGACAGAAAGAAAGAGAAAAGCTTATGGATACACAAATGGAGTGGGTTAGAGGTCAAGCAATCGGCCATGGAAGCTTTGCAATTGTCAGTTTAGCAAAAACAACAAGCCAGAATTCACGTTTTCCGCCATTAATGGCCGTCAAAGCTTGTGGGGCATCTCAGTCTGATTCGTTGAAGAAAGAGCGAATGATCTTAGACGAACTTAAGGATTGCCCAGAGATTCTTAGGTGTTATGGCGACTGTTTTACAATTGAAAACGGCGAGAGATTATATAACATCGCATTGGAGTATGCTTCCGGCGGTTCTTTAGCCGACAGAGTGAAGAACTCCGATAATTTACGGTTGCCGGAGTCTGATGTCCGGAGGTACACGAATTCAGTCTTGAAAGGGCTTCAATTTGTTCACCGGAATGGGTTTGTGCATTGCGATATCAAGCTTCAAAATATTCTGTTATTCGCCGGTGATGGGAAGGACAATGTTAAGATCGCCGATTTCGGGTTAGCAAAGAAGGTGTCGGTGGAGTCAAACTCAAACTCAAAAAACGAAATTCGGGGTACACCGATGTATATGGCGCCTGAGACGGTGGTCGACGGCGAGCAAGGTCCGGCGTCCGACATTTGGGCAGTTGGGTGTTTGGTTTTGGAAATGTTCACCGGAAAGCCAGCGTGGACGTGCTCCGGCGTGGGCGCGGTTTTGATGAAAATCGGAGTTGGCGCCGAAATCCCAGACATTCCCGGGAAATTATCGGACGCGGGAAAAGATTTCCTCGGGAAATGTTTCGTGAAAGATCCTAGTAAAAGATGGACGGCTGAGATGCTTCTAAATCATCCTTTTATCAACGGTCAGGATCAAACCACATCAAGCTCTCCAAGAGACCCATTTGATTTTCCCGATTGGGAATTGGAGCCCTCGATTTCAGTGACACCTTTTTGCTCGCCGGAATTCGATTCTTGGATCTCCGACGATTCATGCCCGTCGCCGGCGAGTAGATTACGGCAGCTCGTGACAGATCGGAGACCCGATTGGACTGAAGGAAGCAATTGGTTGACAGTCAGATGACCATGATGCAGATTAAAATATTGGAATTTTAAATTCCAAAATTTTGTCAGAATTTTTTTATCAATTTGTAAATATAAAGTGTTGAAAATGGAAATGATTAGTTTTGGTATCGTTTATGATGTCATAATTCTTCCGTAGATATTATTTTATTTGTTCGAAATATGTTTGTTCTTTTAGATTAGTATATATTACCTTCTCAATCACTAAATATTTAAAACGTTTTTTAATTAATTTAAAAAGATTATAAATTGTTAATAAGAGTACAAACTTTTAAACCACTTCATATATTATCATTAAAATTTATCTTAGACTAAAAAATTTGATTTATTAAATGTGTGAAAAGTGAGATGTGTAACTTGGGTTTGAAGCAAAGATAAGATGTTCTGATAATGTCGGTTTTAAATTATTGTATTTTTTTTTATCATAAAATAGCAAAAGTTCTTTTGGAAATACGAAAAAAAAATTACTATATTAATCATTTAAAAGATTTCGTAATGGGTATCCGATCCGATGGTATCTACCTCTCTAATAAATAAAACCTAAATTGCCACATGTCCTCTTTTTAGATCCTTGCTTTGCCACATGACATTTTTCTAGACTATAAGTTAATTGTTTTCCCGCTCATCTTATACCCTCTCCTGAATCGGAAATTTCAATCTCATCTTATATACTTTTGAATTGGAAATTTGAAATTAAGGTTTAATCAATCCCATAAAATCTGCTAAAAATCTTTGACCATTATCTCAGTTTCTATTATATAATCCAAATTTGAATGTTAAGTCCTATAATTATCACGTATATGAATCTCTCACCGCCACTGCTACACTGCCACCATTGCTATGTCACCATCACCACCATCCACTACAACCACCACCAACGCACAATCTCCATAACTTAAGAAAAAATGGAGGGAGACGACATTGATTTTTAGTTTTAGCACTAAATTGATTTTTATCCCTAATTCTATGTGAAGTATTCTTATGCGATTAGGGTACAGAGGATATCATCCCCTCATTTTCTATGCACTAGCAACTAGCTCGTGGAACAAAGTCAGATATGTTTCAGATTCTATCTTTTTGCATCATGTTTTTTCATCTTGTGACATCACTTCATCGAAAAAAACTCCTCTGTTCAACAGCTATCTTTTCCTAATTTCACATTCAAATAACTCTTTCACCACATGTTTGGTTCTTTACAGTTTTGATGACAATAGAGAGTTCAAAGTTAATTATAAACAAACCATTTGTTTTCATTTCGTTTTCTCTATCAATTTTCAGTTATTGGGATATTTTTATTGATGTTAAAAGTTATGCAACATGTTCTGATCACATATGTTGTTTTGATATTTACCAGACCCACCATTTTTTGTATATGCGTATTGTTTTGAGCCGTAATTTGATTTTTTTTCTTAACATTTGGAGTTTTCGTTTTGTTTGAACTTGAAATAAAAGAAATGCTCTTGGATATGACTCCCAATCAGATAAGCACATAAACATGTTTTTAAGGTACATTCGGGTATGAAATAGTCAAGTTCAGTTGCTATCTTATATTTTTTAATTGATGTAATCAAAATCATTTTAATCTTTGGTCATGATGTTTCAGAAAATAGGAGACGAGACAAAATAATTTTAAGATGACGGATTGAACACAAGTGTGATGTCAAGGCACAGTAACATCAAGGTCTTATTTCTTCATTTTCTCATATTTTGGGCCATTTTCTGTCATAATTAAATAATACCCTTTTAAAATTTGTAGCATTCTTTCTTATTTGATTTTTTTATTGTCATACAGGTTGGATTAAGTTTTCTTAATTCAAGAGTGAAGGGAAGGTGTTCTGGATAGGTTTACTTAGAAGCAATTCAAAATGATTTTGAAAATTTGTGGATCTGTATCATGCTAAAGTATAAAATGAAATGCAAGATTTTCCATATATTATTTTTAATATTTATTTAATAAATTAAAGGACAACTTTATTCTTATTACCATAACCATTATTCTTGCACAACTTTATTTTTTACTTCATTTACTTTAATGAAGTTATGTACAACTTTATTTTTACTTAGTTACTATATTCAAGTTGTTATAAAGTTGAAAATTTATTTAATTGTTTTTGAATCTGTATTTATTATTATTTTTTAAAAAGAAAAAACTTGTATTTTTTCTTTTATATTGTTTACCAGTCACCTGCAGTAAATCAAATTAATGCAAACAAGATGACATAAAATAACTAAAATATATGTTATCATTACTACCCTTAAAATTATCCGTTCTACCCTTTTGTTTCTCCAACCTGCATTTTTTTCTTACATGTTACTTACTGCATAAGAACATGATAATAGCAATGAACTATGATGAAATCAAAGTGTTTTTTTTATTAAAAAAATGATTTCACAATAGTAAGTTGCTATATATAAAACCTTACGAGAACTGAAGTTTTGTTGTAGCCAAAACCTTTGTCTATAGAGATTACAGTTGTCTTGGCAATGACAACTAATAAAACAAATGCCAGCAAAATATCAATGTGGTTAGTATATGGGCAGTGGAGATAAATCAGCGTCCCAATGTTTGCAAGAACCAAAGTAGTGAAGGCATTTCGTATAAGCATCAATAAAATAAACAAAATTCAATTCAAGTTTTCTTCTTCTTCTTCTTCTTTTATTATTATTATTACTTTTTGTAAAGATATATATATATATATATATATATATATATATATATATATATATATATATATATATATAAATTACATTTTTGGTCCGTTGATTTTTTCAATTTTGAAAAAATACTGCTGTACATTGGCATTTTTCATAATACTTTGTTTGTATGTTCTCTGTAAATGTTTTTTTTTACGTTTTCTGAAAGTTTATATATCTTTTTTTCAATGTACATTTCCTGCAACTTTTGCTTAGTACGTTGACATTTTTATAGAAAGTCGATCATTTACACGGAAAACTGTGATACTTTCAATATCACTATTCCGATGACAAAGACCATTTTTGTAACATCGTTTATAATTTATGTAATTTTGTGAATAAATTTTTTCCCTTATGTAATAATATATTTTTCTATTAAACAACCCGCAACAAGATAAAGATTAGAAGCCCAACTGAGAAGTACAAAACCAAACTCTCTTATTAGTACCGAAGACATTCCAACCTACATTTTTGTCATACATATTAATTAATATATGATATTAGCAATGAACTATGATGAAAACAAATAGTGCTTTTTTATCTAAAAAATGATTTTCTGAAAGCTTATGAGAACTGAAGTTTTCTTGTTGTAGCCAAAATCTTTGATAATTATGGAGATTACAATTGGTTAACACATTAAACTTTTTATAAAAATAATCTATGTAAATCTATTTTTAATGATTATTATTTTTATATTATATATATTATTTTACTTTGTCAACCGTGGATTCCACGGGTTATAACCTAGTTTTCCAAATATATTAAATGACTAATTAGGATGCTTTATGAGAAAAGTCTACTTGTCAAAAAAACTATTTAATGAAAAATAATATATGATAACATGTTATTTTGATCGTATTTGCTATATAATAGAAGCACGAGAATGTTGTTGAATATATTTTATTTTTAAGATGTTAATATTTACCTATAATCATGATTCATATTTTTTGTAATTTATTTGGTCAAATTTTCTTTAGTTTTCAAATCGAATCCAACATTTGTGAGCAAAACTAGTTGTTGAACCATTGTAAGAAAATGTAACACAATCAAAATTGTGTGAACAAATGTCGTTTTCTTCCTACCAAACAAGTTGTAAAAAATATTTTCTTATTCAACCAACGTTTTAGCATATTTTACATTAAAAAAAATCTGAAAAACCTTTAATAGTAAAAAGAGCTACTCATAAGTCATATATTTTATAATTAAATATTAAATAAAATTGGTTCAAATGGGAAAATGTATCCTTATTAGATCGATAATTTATATTTTAGCGTTTAATAATCTATAATCAAATAAAGAATGCAATTATTAAAATTAAAGATTAACTTATTGATGCTTATTTTCTCATTTAATAACCATAATATTTATATTTAATGTCTAACTTTTGTTTTCAAAACTAATATTGTGGAAATAAAAATTGATTAAAACACTGTTTTCACTGTCCCATAATTTGATGAGGGTGGCCTGGTTAGGTGGTGTGGTTAACTGATTATTCATTATATAACCAAGAAATCAGGTCCATTAGCGATAACGGTCTAAATCACAACCTACAAAACTGGCCCAAGGCCTTTCTTTAAATTCCGAAAGTTCTTTCGTCACTTAATTTGCGTTTAAGGCGTTTTCATTTTTTGTCTTGGCAAAAATGGGAACCGGTGTAACAAATTATTGGAGATATAGTGAATATATAACTTCTTGTTTATCCTTTTCATGTAAATAGAGATTGTTGCTTATCCTAATCTTTGTATCATGATAACAGAGAAGTTACGTACGTCTCTCATATACTATTTCGTTGTATCATAACCTGATCTAGATCAAGCAAAAAGGTTCTGAATGTCTCAACGAAATCTCATTATGTGTAGGTTCGAAGTTGTTTCCGTCCAAGCCAACGATCATGGATCCAACGTCCCCATTTTATCTTCATATGTACGATCATTTAGGTTTATCCATCTGCATGACGATCTTGAAATGTGACAATTATCAAGAAAGAGCACAACTATGAAAAAAACGCCTTCCTGATCCAAGCGCAAAATGAGCTTTCTTGATGGATGTGTTATCAAACCAAATGACACGACAATCAAAACTGATGATTGGTGGAGTGTTAATTAAATGCTCATCAGCTGGATCGTACAGTCAATAAACCATAACCTACGCTCATAAAGTACATATTTTGAAGCAGTTCGTAAACAATGGAATGACAAGTTTCATTGATTCACAGTTCGCAATGGAACAAGAATCTTGCAAATCATATTTGATATCACCCGTTGTCGTTAAAGTGGCCAAATTTATGATGGATTACTATGGAACCCT